ATACTCTGATCTTGCCAATTATTCTATAAGTAATACATATGATGTAAATTTGTTATCGTCTCGTCAAGGATGGAATGACCAAACTATACACAACAACATCTCAGCAATTTGGTACCGAGAACCTTTAGATCCTTCAACTGGAGAAAGGAATGGAAAGAGAAGCATAATTCCACCAGATGAGTTGATCAACATTGCTGGTATATCACAAGTACCAGATGGTGCAGCTTCATGGCATGTGGCTGTGAGCAAGTATACAGATTCACCGTTGCTTTCAGCAGCACTGCCAGTTTGGGATCCATCGAATAAAACCATAGTTGCTGTTGTGGGAGTTACTACAGCACTTTATAGTGTAGGTCAATTGATGAAAGAAATTGTTGAGTTCCATAGTGGTCACATTTATTTAACCTCTCAAGAAGGATGGTTGCTCGCTACTTCAACGAATAGCCCTCTCTTGATGAATACTACAAAAGGGCCAAAGCTAATGATGGCTATTGATTCTGAAGACCCTGTTATACGATCTGGGGCTGAGTGCTTACAGAAGGAATATGGAAAGAGGCTTCCCCCAAGTCAAGAAGTGCACATAGAGAATGCTAAACTTGGGAACCAGCTCTATTATATTGACTCATTTTACCTGCAGTTAAAGAGACTTCCAATGGTAAATTGTTAGCTTAGCAAACTTCAGTATCATGATTGGATAAGCACGTTCTGGTAATTTGTTGGTGCTTAATGATCTGCAAACTTTGCAGGTAGGAGTTATCATCATTCCAAGGAAATATATAATGGGAAAGGTAGATGAGAGGGCTATCAAGACTCTTGTAATATTGATCTCAGCATCAATATGCATCCTAATCATTGGATGTGTCTGCATCTTCGTACTAACAGATGGAGTGTCAAAGGAAATGAAACTTAGAGCAGAACTGATAAGCCAGTTAGATGCAAGAAGGAAAGCAGAGGCATCGAGCAATTACAAAAGCCAATTTCTAGCGAACATGAGGTGAATATTCATCAGCCCTTTGTTATTAGCTTAATATATTTGTACCTGCATTGGGGGTGTTAGTGCATAAAAAATGAGTTAAATTCCAGCAGTTCTTCAAAAAGATATTCACATTGTTTTATGAAACACACAGCTCATATTAGTAAGTAAAGGCCATTTTCTGAAAATAAATTATCTGAAATAAAGCTATCAGATGTTTATATTTCCTTTCTATTGGACTGTTTTCTACTTTGAACTCTGATATAGACAATAATAAGTAGTTTACTTCCGCTCTTCTACTCTACATCTTGCCTCATCGAAAGATTCATTCTCAGTTTAAATTTTTAGTTTCTCAAATGTACATTTCTACAGTTACTTCATGCTTTGTTTTTTCACAGTCATGAATTACGAACACCTATGGCTGCAGTTATTGGCTTGCTGGACATTCTTATAAGTGATGGTTTTCTTACAAATGAACAGTATGCAACTATTACTCAGATTCGTAAATGCTCAACTGCCTTGCTTCGGCTTCTAAACAACATTTTGGATCTCAGCAAGGTAAGATGCAAAAGCAAACTAAGGATTGAAAACATTTGTGAACGTTGATAAAGTAGAGCACAGTAACAACTCTTTTGATGATACTATTTGAAAGAGTTTACTCTTTGATTGACTAAAGTCACCCTACTGTTCCTCGGAGAAATTATAGCATAGATGAAATGGTAATAGACTATTTAGGGTAATGTTGCAGCTAGCTTAAGCTCATTACTCAAAAGAGTGGTTTTAATTAGACCTGAGAAGAATCATATATTCAATTATGCTACTTTTTTATCAGGTAGAATCTGGAAAACTGGTGTTGGAAGAAACAGAATTTGACTTGGCTCGAGAACTTGAAGGACTTGTTGATATGTTCTCTGTCCAGTGCATTAATCACAATGTTGAGACCGTTCTAGATCTCTCTGGTACATCCATTGTTCTGCTTACGAGTTGATTTTGAGACTCTTCACATTGTTTTCTGAATATAATGTTTTCTCATGTTTCTATCTGCAGATGATATGCCAAAATTAGTTAAAGGAGACTCTGCCAGAGTTGTTCAAATTTTCGCAAATCTAATTAGCAATTCCCTCAAGTTCACAACCTGTAAGTGCAACTTTTTAATAAATATATTTTCAAGTCTTTCTATTTGTCCTCGTAATTATTAATTGGTAAAGCCCTTGCAAGAATCAAACAGAGTGATTCTACTGACCCTATAAAACGAAGAGATTAGGGTCATGATTTTGGTGATTTTAATTTGAGAAATACCTTACAGCGGGCTACATCATTCTTCGTGGATGGTGTGGGAGTGCTCGTGGAGGTAACTTTCCACTGAATCAGAAAGACTCTTGGTCTGCTCCTAAAGTGAAGTTGAAGCGACAAGAAAGCCAGGGCAAAAGATTCTCCAAGAAAGATAACAAAATGATCCTGTGGTTTGAAGTTGAGGACTCTGGTTGTGGTAAGAATCACAAATCCAAAATAGCCATAAAGTTTACCAGTTAACTTATTTTCCCACTTTCTGCTACTGCATATTAACTCTCTTTCTCTCTATCTCTGGATTTTCCCTTTTTGTTGCTCTAGGAATTGATCCAAGTAAATGGGAATCTGTATTTGAAAGTTTTGAGCAAGCCGATCCTTCGACCACTCGCTTGTAAGAAGTTCACTTCATTGTCATCTATGGATAAACTTTTTTAGTTAAATAACAGAATACATGCATGAATGCATGAATTTACTTCCTGCATAATTTAAAAGCTAGTTAGTATCTGGAAAGAAAAAACTCAATCGTTTGATTATGTTCATACTCAGGCATGGTGGGACTGGCCTTGGACTATGCATTGTACGTACCCTGGTGAGTTGAATTTTTTTTCTTAGAACAAATTTCAAGCTTTAACTTATGATTTTCTAAGACTTGATGTGGTCCTAACCCCCTTACAAAGTAAAGGATGGCATGAACAACAACTCTCTAAGCAAAGTTCCACTGTTCATCATTTCTGAAAAATTTCCCCTTGGAATAGGCTTTAAGCATAAAAGTGGAGATATGTTGACTGCTTTGGCAGTTTCTAACGATGATAGGATGATATACAGGTTAACAAAATGGGTGGAGAGATTAAAGTTGTAAAGAAAAATGGACCAGGGACAGTGATGCAACTATGCCTTCAACTAAACTGTCCTGCTGAAGTCGCTGGGCAGCACTGCCAGTTTAGTTTTGAGGAACATAAAATGAGGGTAAGTAAAACTTCATGGGCTAAATGTATTCATTCAACTCACAGACTCACTTGAATGCTAGAGTACTACAGGTGTTATTATCATTCTCTGTGGATTCAGTAGTCTCTAATCTTGTATAATGTGGTATTTACATCCATCAGGTGTTGCTTGCACTCAATGGAAAAATGGGTAGAGTGATAATGTCCCAATGGTTAAAGAGAAATGGGGTGCACACTTGGGGAGCATCTGACTGGAATGAGCTCACTCAAATTCTTCAGGGTATTACTATATCCAAAGGCCATTTGCAAGACACACCTTGTGAATGCTTAGATCCTGAAGATTTGAGCATTCAAGATCCTAATGCCTCATCACCTTTTGTCATAGTTGTTGACATTGGCATCCTTGACTTGAGCACAAGTATATGGAAGGAGCAGCTAAATTTTCTTGATAAATACCATGGCAGAGCAAAGTTTGCATGGATTCTTTACCATGATACATCGAGTACCATCAAGATGGAACTCCGAAGAAGGAGACACCTACTTATGGTCAATAGACCACTATATAAGGGGAAAATGATTCAGATTTTAGAAGCTATTATAAAAGAAAAAACTCTTGAGCTGCAGTCTTTTGGTAATGCACCAGTTGAAGGAGATTCACATGAATGCCTTGAAATTGATCCTAACCACTCGGATATCGCCTGCTCGGATGATTCTGACAAGTCAGATAATGGAAATAACAAATGTGCAAGTGCATTCCTTTCTGAAAAAAAGAGGGACGAAAATTTTGTCAAAGCCTCTCTTTCACATTATGGGACCTTAAACAACTACTTCATTGACTTCAATAGCGTAGATGTTGAAGAAAATGCTCCTGACAGGACTCATCTGGGACAAACTAGGGATGGAGAACATAATTTAACAAGCACCGCCACCAAAGAGGTCACAAATGCCTGCTCAAATAAGGTAGCAGGGCAGAAATCTCTAGCAGGTTTATGTATACTGCTTGCTGAGGATACCCCAGTTCTGCAAAGAGTCGCTACAATAATGCTGGAAAAATTGGGAGCTAAAGTGGTTGTTGTAGGAGATGGACTACAGGCAGTGGAAGCACTGAAACCCGTGCTTAATTCAGATGAATGTAGAAATGAATCTCTTCAGGAAGATGATAATACAATTACTTCCCAAGCTGAAGGCTCTTATGACTTGATCCTCATGGATTGTCAAGTAAGTCGAGCATGAATTTACGGTTATAAGAAATTGTTGTGTGTTTGCTAATATAATTGCTTCTTAACAGATGCCGAAGATGGATGGTTATGAAGCAACAAAGGCAATTAGAAGATCAGAAATGGGAACAGGAACACACATTCCCATTGTTGCACTGACAGCTCATGCAATGTCATCAGATGAAGCAAAATGCTTACAGGTTGGTATGGATGCTTATTTAACCAAGCCCATAGACAGCAAGTTGATGGTTTCCACCATTCTTTCCTTGACTAAAAGAAAAGCCTAACCATCATACCTCTCTGTCAAAAAACGGAAGAAACAAACAAACAAACAAAATGGAAGAGCTCACAAAACTCATGAGCTTAAAGCAGAGTTTTGATTAGCAATAGTTTTGCAATCTGTACAGGAAACTAACTTTGTATCTATTCTACAGCTTATGAAAAAGTTTCAATAAGTTTTGCAGATTTTTTATTAGAATAAGTATGGCAATCTGTACAGGAAATGTCTGTATCACTTGGAACACTAATTTTGCATCTGTTATAGTTTATGCAAAAGTTTGTAATAAACATCGAAAACTAACTAGAATTAGTAATGGATGGATTTAGAGAACTAGATCGGAAAGAGGTCAACTTAGGGGGTAGCAACATAGATCTGCACAAGGGGCAGGTAACGTGTCCATCGTTCACCCAAGTATCAAGGCATCCCCTGTGGAAGACATGGCTGCAGGTGATGAGCTCTCTGACCTCCTCATCTAGCTCCATGGATTCAAGGCAGATCGAGCATCCCTTCACTGATTGGCCGCATTTCCGGCGGCGGCAGAGGAGGTAATCGCTGTAGAGGAGTATGGGGACTTTGAGCTTGACGGCGGCGGTGGCGACCTCGATTGGAACGGTGACAAGGGAAGGGCAAGTGCCGTCTAATAGAAGGATGTAACTATTGGGGTTGTAGCTTGAATCCGCGTCGTCTTCTTCAGGGGGAGGTTTGCAGAGACCCAGCCGAGTAAGGAAAACAATCACCATTAATTTCAGATATCTCCATAAGAATGCCAATTTTGGTAATTCAATCACATGGAATAGGAACCCCATCACTCACAAAAAGAGTAAAGTCTTTCTTAGTGGAAAAACACAAGTAACATCTCTTTCCTAAATATATATAATGACTACTACTAGGTTTCTCATATTAATAATGTTTTTTTTAAAAATACATATATATATATATATATATATATATTTAATTTTGGAAAAAAAAAAAAAAAGTTTGCCACTTCTTAGAATAATAATAATATAAGTTTTGAAGAATTAACATAGTAAATAGGTGTTCATTCAATTGATTAAATTAAAAATGGCTAGTAAATATATAATACTGTATATATGATCTATGTATATTCGCTATAAAAAGTGAAAAGTAAATTTATCGGACTATCTATATGAATATCCCAATTTTTTTATATAACTAAAATAATTTTTATTGAATTATTATATCAAAGTAAATGAAAACCTTCTCTTTTATAGGTGACGGACACTTCAAATTCTTTGTGTAGAATGAATTAATGAATTCAAATATGGAGATCATCTACCCTAACAAAGGAACACCAACTCATGCTTTTAACATTATAGTAGAAGTCATCTGTGAAGAAAATTACAAAGTATAAAAAATGACAAAATAATTTTTAAAATATCGAAAACAAAGTGCCATAAAGACATTATATGTGATATCCAACTATTGTATCAACAATAATAAACAAATTAAAATAAATGTTAGAGATGTAAAGTTGTAAATTCTTGTAGTTTTCATTTTTATGATGGAATATTTTAAAATATCATTTTATACTTCCTCCAAGTACATAAATAATATCACATCACATCTTTTGCTGTAAATTATATGTTAAATTTTATGTATTGCCTTTTTATCTATAAAAATTATAATCACAATACATTATAAGAATAAATCAATTAATAAAAATTCATAGCCTTTCAAAATTCTAGAATTAATGAAAATTCTAAATTTTCGATTACTATTATGGCATATGCAAAAGTTAGCTAATTTCTAAACGTTCTTTAACGTGTAAATTACAAATTCAATCTCGTCTTGAACCTTCTAGACAACAGGAGGTGGGTATAGAGGTGGGAAGATGAATGATCCAAATTCCTTTGGCAAAAGAAAATTACTCTATATATAAGTTTTTTTTAATTTTTATGTACATATATAGATTTGAATCTCCTAACGAAATAAGATGTTGACTCAATCATTAAGAAAAAAAATTAAATTCACCTTAGATTTCAAGTTCAAATTCTAAACACTATATTTTTATTTTTAAAATCCCTAAGGTGTTAAACGGAAAAAAAATATATGTAAATCTCCTAACGAAATAAGATGTTTACTCAATCATTAAGAAAAAAATTTAAATTCACCTTAGATTTCAAGTTCAAATTCTAAACACTATATTTTTATTTTTAAAATCCCTAAGGTGTTAAACGGAAAAAATATATATGCACTATGCAGGAAAACAGAGAGTGGATTAATAACATGACAACCATGCGAAATTATAATTGTAAAAATGGCCCATGCAGGTCTCGAACCTGCGACCTTCGCGTTATTAGCACGACGCTCTAACCAACTGAGCTAATGGGCCTTTGATGACTATATATATCTTTTTTCTATCTTCTCCAAAAAGAAACGAGAAGCGTTAATGAAGTAGTATTAATATTGTTTCTATATCAAAACTGAGGTAATTTGAGGGGAGAAACCCATTTTCAGCCATGAAGGACGATTACGAGGTATCAAGCTTTCTGCTTTCTTCCATTATCCTGAGTCTGATATCCTTTTGCTTTGTAGTCCTAAGTTTTAAATTTTTTTTTTGAGTTTTTAGTTGCGATTTTAGGTCTTTTGCTTTTGATTTTAATAGACTTTCGAAATTGTTTGTGATTTTTTGAAGCTTAATCGGAGCTTCTTATTGGGTTTTTCTTTCAAGTCTTTAGTAAGTAATTTAGTCCTTGTATCGGATGCAGTTGAACAATTGTAACAATTTCTTGTTTTGGTGGAAGAAATGATGATATACAAGATTACGATTAAGTCGGTATCTTTGATCAATTTGAACCAGTATTACCAAACATAAAGTAGTTATAAGAATGGAAGAAAGAATCTTGAACCTTGGATCTTGAAATCCTGTGCCCTTTGTGTTGGTAGTATTTGAGTCTAGAATGAATATCAAAATTGGGTAGAAATCAAATTTATCAAAATTCGATGATCATTCCAAATGCTGAAATTCTGAATAATATTTTGTGATATCTCAATTGGTTTAAGTTTGTAATCAATCAATTCTTTGAGTAATTAAGGAGCTTCTTCTTGCATCTCTCTTTTTTTTTCTTTTTTTTTAAGAAAGTAGTGTTATTTTGTCTTTGTTTAATTAAGGTGGTGTCACGGCTAGCTTTGGCACACTTCTACTCTTCCACTGGGTACCCTACTACCTCCTACCAACACAGGTACCGGGTAATTCTGCATATCAAGGCTTAGACGACAAATGTGAAGAAATCACCTAGGATTAAGCAAGTAGTGAGTATTGATTTCTAGACTCTAATTTTGCGTTCTGTGGCAAAAAATCACCTCCTTAAAGGCAATTGCTATCAGTGAAGGCTTAAGAAGTGGCAAATCTACCCTTAATGTTTCTTTAAAGCAGGAACAAAAAGAAAAGGACGTTTATTCCTCAAATTGTAACTTTGACTAAGTTTGGTGAACTGCTAGCTAAAGAAACAAAGAAAGGAACCGGATCAAAGTGAAAAATGATAATCAAGAATGAACCTCTTTTTGGCCATGAAATAATTTTGTATAGGAAATTTTGATTGTTAATAATGTTGAAGTGGAAATCCCCACTAAATGAGAGTTTTCTTCATATCTCTGAGGATTGATGGAAGTGTTTGACTGTAAAATATAGAGATATAGGCATATATATTTCTTCTCAGAAAGTCTCTTATTTTTACTTGGTTTTTGGTGTACCGTGAAGTTCTTACCAGTTCAGAAGATTGTGTGATGTTCTTAGAGAACCATATTATTGTGTGTTTCTCTATTTTTCTGTATTCAGCTTGTTTACAGGAGTTTTTCACATTAATTAAATTATTTACCTTATAAAAAAAATCTATTTAAGATTGGTTTGATTGTTATCGTTTTTTTAAGCATTTGTTGTCATTTGTCTTTTTATACATGTATTTGGAATGCCACTGGTGTGTAAATCAATGAGTTAACCCATCTAAGATGGAAAATAATATAAGATATTATTGCCGACCTTTTTGAACTGTTAATGTTCTCCTTATTTAGTTGAATATCTATCCATATAATATAGCTTGTTTGGATATGGTTACTAAGTACAGCAAGGATGGGGATTATGTTCATACCTGCTGGTTTTTCTGATGTGTAAAGTTTTCTTGGTAAATAAAATTTTAGTTACCCAAAAAAAAAAAAACTGTTCTCCTTATTTTTGGAGTGACTACAGAATGCTTAAAAGTTAAAAGTTTGATTACCATTTACCATGCAATGTGCAAGACACTTTTGCAGTTTTTATTTCTATATTGTGTTATTAACTTTAACTCTCATGTACAATTCCAGATCGAAGAAAAGAAGCAAGCTGCTGCAGATGTCTTGTTTCAATATTCAAATTTTGTTATGGCCTGTATTGGTAATCAAGTTCGGCCTTGTGACTTGAGACTGCATTTGATGAAGGTAAGATGCATTAATGACTTTTTCTTGCTGTATCAGTGTCACATGGGAACAATCTCATGAGTATAGTTGTGTGATAAGCGCTCAAGTTTGAGGACCCCCGCCATGTTATCTTATTCTTCGCTTTCTTACTTGTATTCTTCTGTAAGTTGCCATCTTTTGCTTAATGTAAACCGTTGCATGAAACCTAACAATGAAAGGACGCTGCATGAAACCCTGTGCTTCAAAACCTTAAAAAATAAAGGTAATTGTTCTTTCCAACAAATTTTTCATTTATTATGTGATCCAAATTTGGTAAGAATTGTTATAGGTCCATTAAATGGTGCATCCTAATACGCTCCTTTATCTAGGGTTTGTAGTTCATGATTCATCTTCATCCTCTATGTTGATGCTTGATGTCACAGTAAAATTTTAAACTGTCCTTTCCCAAATATAAAACCGGGGGCTGACTAACTGGAAACAGGCAAACAGCTATTGGTACTGAGGCCATCTCTGAGAGTGAAGCACTGTATTGTGTCTGTAACGATTGAATTGAAGCATTTACCTTTTTCTTCTTATAACCCTTGAGATAACTTCAGAGGAAATGATTCTTACGGTTTTATATGCTGTGGTGCTTCACCTGAGCACACATACCTGCATTTAAGATTAAAATAGTGAAGTCACTGCATTATGAAGAGGAAATATTACATTCTGCACCTGATATTTCTGTCTGAAGGAGTCATAGCAATAATCTATATCCAAGCCTGTATTTCCAGTGGCGACTGGTTTTGATTTGGCCAAAGTTGTTGATTTGCTCAAATTTTGAAACATTAATGGTATAATAATTGCTTGCTATTGAATGTTGAGTGGAATATCAGTCATTTCAATTCTTATTGAGTGCAAACTATTCAACATGACATTCTCTATCCTAATCATGGAAGTGTGTAAATTTAACCTAAAGAACTGTTGATCCTTTTAATTTTCTTTCAGGAAGTTTCAGGATTGCCAACTTCTTTGAAGCGAGAACCCCATCCAACAACTTCTCCTGATGTAATGGGAGAATCCTCAAGCTCAGGTATCTCAAGACTGGACAAAGCAGACAGTTTCCGAGGTCCTTAGATTTGTGAAGTGCATTGTTCTCTATGTTTTCTAGTTCGCTGTCTGGAAAAATATACTATCAATTGTTGTACTGTTTGAGGCATGTAGGATCTTGTTCATTTTGTCAGTGTCTTCGGTTATGCCATCTCTGTCGCATTTATGTTTTTTAAGGCAAAATTATTTCTTTCATCATATGAGCACACACATTTTAGTTCTTCTTGATCACTATACTCGAACATTCAATTGCAAGTCAGCAGGAACAATATCCTTTCATCTTTTCAAACAAAAATGGAGAACT